TCCTCTGCACACATTCCAGCTTGTCAACATCCTTCTTAAATCATGGTGCCCAAAATTTGACACATTATTCCAGATATGGTCTGATCAAGGCAGAGTAGCGTGGTACTATTACTTCCCTTGATCTGGACACTAGACTTCTGTTGATGCAGCCTAGAATTGCATTAGCTTATTTTGCTGCTACATCACAATGTTGACTCAGGTTCAGCTTGTGGTCCACTAAGGCTCCTAGTTCCTTTTCACATGTATTGCTAGTAAGGCAGGTGTCCCTCATCCTATATTTGTGCATCTGGTTCTTCCTGTCTAAGTGCAGAACCTTGCATTTGTCCCTATTGAAATTCATTTTGTTAGCTTGTCCCCAATTCTCCAATCTGTTAAGGGCATTTTGAATTCTGATTCTGTCTTCTGCAGCATTGGCTACCCCTCCCAGTTTGGTGTCATCTGTGAATTTGATGAGCATCCCTCAATTCCTTCATCCAAGTCATTTTTAAAGTTTCTGAACAACAACGGGCCCAGGAGAGAACTCTGCAGTACCCAACTTCTCACTTTTTCCAGTTTGATGAGGAATCATTAATGAGTACTCTTTGGGTTTAGTCGGTTAACCTGCTACAATTCCACCTAATAGTTACGTCATTCAATCCACATTTTACCAGCTTCCTCCCAAGAATATCATGGGGGACTTTGTTAAAAGCCTTACTGAAATCAAGATACACTATGCCCACAGCATTTCCCTGATCCACCAAGTTTGTAATTCTATAAAAAAAAAGAAATCAGGTTGGTATGACATGACTTATTTTTGAGAAACCCATGCTGGGTCTTAGTAATCACAGCATCCTTTTCTAAATGCTCACAGACAGACTGTTGAATTATCTTTTCTAGGACCTTCCCTGGTATCAATGTCAAGCTCACCAGTTGGTAGCTACCTGGGTCTTCCTCCCCCCACCCTTTTGAAGATGGGGACAACATCTGCCCACCTCCAGTCTGTAGGGACCTCATCTGTTCTCCATGAATTCTCAAAGATAATAGACAAAGTTTCTGAAATTACATCCGCAAGCTCCTTTACTACCCTTGGATGCAGCTTATCAGGCTCTGGAGATTTGAATTCATTTAAAGTAGCTAGGTTTCCCTTTTCATATCTTGGGCTACAGCTCCCCTCAGATGTTGTTACGCTCCAACTCCCATCAACTCTGGCTGGCAGGGTTGATGGGAGTTGTAGTCTAATGACATTTGGAGGCCACTAAGTTCCCTATTTCTGCTTTATACACAGAAGGTCCCAGTTTCAATAAGAACCCCCGCAGGATTAGGCCAAAGGCCCACCTAGTCTAGCATCCTCTCTCCACCTGGGATTCCCAGGAACTAGTATTCAGTGCTCACTGCCTCAAACAGTGGAGGTAGATCATAGCTATAATGGCTAGTAGCCATTGATGACCTTAACTTCTAATCCCTGCCCTCCATTAGAAAGGATTTCAGATAGTAAGAAAGAGATCTGGCTCAGATCTTGGAGACCTGCTGGCCAGCCAGAGCAGACAATACTGGGACTGATGGAGCAAAGATCTAATATAGTATAAGGTCCAGTAGGATTGCCACTTCCCCACCACAGTGCACAGGTGGGAGATAGGAGACAGGCCACCCAAACGGGTAGCTGTGCTATTGCCACTGACTATGGCTAAAATATAAGGACATGGTTTTTCAGTAAACGAATAAAGAAGAAGATGACGATGTTGAATGTTTGACCACCTTGTTTAAAATTAAGGTATGCCAAATACATCCAGTCCTCAATATTTCTCAGAATTACCCCCATGCCCTAAAAGCAGCTGAAAATTCCTCCACTTTCGCAGGGGAACAAGGCCCCCTCTGAAAGCAAAGGAAGATTTTTGGTACACCTTTATGTTAAAGGTGTATCCATGGCAGTTGTGAATCTCCCCTCACAAAAAAATAATAATCACGCCCCTCTAACGCCCCTCTAATCTTACACAGGCAGATCATTTTCTCTTCCCGATACAATCTCTCTTCAATCACCAACACCACCATCTATTTTAATGGCTTCTTGTAATAATTAACCAGATAATGTGTGTTAAATGCTGGGAACACTCTAAAGCTGTGTTACTGTATGCAAGGTGTGCGCGCGCGCGGGGGGGGGGGGGTTCAGCCTGAAAGCCACATTCCTTCATGGGCAACTTTCTGGGGTGAGTGGAGCAACAGAAGTGACCTTTGTATAGCAGCCACATAAAAGTCATGAGGGTTTTTTGAAAATACACACATAGACCTTTCCATCCAGTATCCAGGCAAGCAAGAGGCATGCTCCTAGGTCAGGCACACATTCCCACCAAGCAAAAAACAAGCAAGAGAGTCACAAGCACTGAAGCCATCTCTGGGGAGCCTGGACACCCACAAAATTTTGACTGTGGGTGCCCAGCCTTCACCAGCCGCTGGTGGCAGCTGCCTTACTGCTCTCTGGTGCCGCCACAGTGACTGGGCCGGGGCCTCCACCTCTGCTGTGGAGCCTCTGTTGGGGCTTTCCTGAGGCTGCAATGGGCCTACTGACAGCCATGGCTCTGTATCAAGAGACAATGGAGTGCACCTCCAGAGGTGAAGTTAAACCACTGGAGAATCATAGCGCTTGCTGTGGCTGCAGAGACCAGTAATACATAACTGCTGCCTGCCACATTGGTCCTGGGCTGTCCAGAAAACACATTTTGCACCAGCTGAGCTGCAGGAGTTGCCAGAAGGAGGCATACAAGATGCCATCGAACCGACTTAGGGATCCTTATATTATATCACGTCTTCCAATATATACCTGTTAGCACCTTGAGATCATCAGCAGAGACCCTTCTCCAGATTCTGCCCCTAATGCGGTACAGTAAGTGACTACTATATATCCTAACCATGCATCCAAAGAAGCACAGGATTAGTAAGCAGAGGGCCTTTTCAGTGGTGGCACCATGGTTATGGAATGCTCTCCCCAGAGATGCTCACCTGGAACACACATTAGTAATTCCTTGTTAAATGTTTCTCCATGCCAGGCTTTTCTTTTCTCCCAGGTGTTTTATTTCCTACCTGTTTTTAATTCTTGGAAGTGATAAAACTGGGTTTAAAAGTGCCATTTATTGGTTCTACACTTCTTTATAGTTTGCATGACTTTCTGTTAATTTTGTGCTGATGTTTGTTTTTTATTGATCAATTGTTTTAGAACTGTGGATTGTTTTTGTATTTCATTGATTCAAAATTATGAACTGCAGTTGGGCAGGGACTTTTTGAAAAACAATGCAGGACGTGCTCCCACGGTATAACATATTAATTATCTGGGCCAGGACCCCACAATGACTTCTTTTTCAGAGAAAGAAAGAAAGTGGCCAATCTTAAGCACACTATTTTAAATGTCTACTTGACATAGCATGTAGTTTGACCCAGGCCTGCAGAATGGAACAGGCCTTGATCACTCTTAGCAACTCCCATAGCCACAGTGGGCCAATAGCAAAAAATACTTTGCAGAGAGAAAGAATGTGGTGCTGAGGCAGAATGCTATATATTCTTGGGTGGTGTGGGAGAGCGAGGGGGGGGGAGGGAGAGCTCCATATTTATGAAGTTTTGCCTTTGGCTATAAGTCAGCTTTCCGTTTACATTTTATATCTGACTGCAGGTTTCCACATACAAAATAACAGCATATGCTTCCCTTTGAGGAAAATGTGTGAAAACCTCACTCTTCCACATGCCTCCATGCTTCAGATTTGACAAAGTATCTTGTGCTTGGCTATTGAAACCTGAGCACAAATATAGGCATCATATGCACTATACATTTAAAGCAGATTCATTTCATTTTAAATAGCCGTGTCTTCCCCCAAAGACCCCTCCCAGAGCTACAATTCCTAGAAATGATTAACAGTCAATCCCTTTCCTCAGGGAACTCTGGGAATTGTAGCTCCGTGAGAGGAATAGGAGGTCTCCTACCAACTCTCAGCACCCTTAACAAACTACACTTCCCAGGATTCTTTGGGGGAGGCGACATCTGCTTAAAGTGCTAGGATGCTGCGTTAAATGTGTAGTGCAGATGGAGCCATAATGTGAAAATTGCCCTCCAGTTTTTCTCCTTTTACATTCAATGCATCTATTTGCTGACTTTGGGCCAGATATTTATATGCTTAGTTTTAATGCAAAAAGAACTACAGGTACCCTGATCTGAATCAGGGTTGTATACAGGGTTGTTTTTTTTGTTTTTGTTTTTTAAAAAACCTTCATTCCTGCCAGTGTTCCAACCTAGAAAATCCCCCTCTTCAACAGTCAATTATTTAGCCCACTGGAGACAAGCAGACAATGGAAACTTCCTTAACAGGAAAGCAGGCTGATGTTATTACCCTTTTTTTGTAGAGGGCCGGCTGAGTCTAGGAGGGCTGCGGCTTGTCTAAGGCAATCTGGTGAGTTAATGACATAGGCAAGAGTTTGGGTCAGCCCAGAACTGGAGCCTCTGCTGCCCCTCCATCCAAGATTAATTCACCCCTTTCCCCTATGTTAATTTACCTAGTGGTGTCAAAAAACAGAAAGAGGCTGCAACAGCAATGGAGCTACCATTAAATTTCCCACAGTGCCCCATCACAATGCTATTTCAGGGTATTGCAAAAATTAAGACATCAGCTCCCACACCTAGCGTTCATTGGATCAGAGCACCACTTAAAAGGGGGCCCTAGGAAGGCATCATTGCCGGGTCCTGGGATCCCAACAGCTTCTCAAGGATGGCAAATGCTGACCACTGGGTGGTCTGCACAATTTAGCCATTATGCTACACAACTGGCAGGTTCAGGCAAGAAGGCAGAAGCAGCGGTGCACCCTGGCAGGCTCCTTCTGCAGCAGCTTGCATTCAATTTCCCGTTGTAGAGTCGGGGAATCTTCTGTGCACTGCCCCAGAAAGCTGGCGGCGGAGGGGGAGAGAAGTATTTTCTGGCAGATTGCCTCTTGGCTTAAGTCAAACCAAAGGTCAGCTGAAAGGAAGAGAAGGGACGACTACTCACAGCCATAGGGAGATCCTGTGGGAGAGCCATTAATGAATCCAGGCGAGCCAGGAACACCCAGGTTCGACATGGGGACGTTGCTGTAGCCGTTCATGCTGTTACTGGAGGTGCTGTAATTAGACTGCTGAGGGGTCGAGCTGGAAGAAGTAACCTCGGGGGAGATGCTGCTTGTGTTGCGGATGTAACCTACAAGAAATAAACATTCTCTGAGTGCCCAGAGATGAGGACAGCGGGATGATCTCTCTCAGCCGCGCATTTCTCCACTAATTTGGATTTCATTGGAACAAATGTTACCACAGATGAGGAAACTAGTCCTGGCGCTAGATGAATCTCCGTGGTTCAGAGGGCACTGGAGTCATCTGGGGAGGGTGGGAGAGAGAATTTTGCCCTTTTAAAAATCCTACCTTTAATGGCTGAGGATTCTTCCCTTGGCAAGAGTGTGCATGTAGTGATTCCCCCCCCCAATTTCTCTCTCTTTTCCTCCATCTTTTTTCTTATAACAACCCCTTCACCAAATGTTGCCACCATGTGATGCTCAGAGTAGCCCAGCCATGGCCCTGGATGTGAATCCATCTGATCATAGCATGCTGTCATCAGCTAGTGGCTTTTCATCAAGGGGGGGGGGGGGAGAAGGCCACAAAGACCACAGTGGATGCAGCCACCCCCTGCC